CTCGTGAAGGACGCTCCTGGGCAGTAGGAGGCAGTCGCCCTCCAACAACAACGGAGGGCGGAGGAGCGACGCTCACAACAACGAGCGGAGCTCAACGAAGTGGCTTATCATCATGTGGACATTGAAAGCAGCCAAACACTCGAAATACGTAATGTTGATTATGAAAAATTCACACGTCCACAGGGAAAGAGACACACGCAAAATCCAAATATACAGCAGCAGACGTCAGGGTCAGGATCGAACCAACCAACGAGCCCCCTGCATACCAGACGAGGTAGTTAACATCTCCTCGCCACCGTGACTTGTTGCAAAGGTTCACGGTTTGAATCCAGCGGGCCGCCCCGGTCATTACCGCGGGCGAAACGACCGTGATGATGCTTCACAACAAGGCCGTAGCCATGGAGTCAAAATTGGGGGGGACCAAATCTTCCAGGATGTCTGGGGGTCCCAACGCAGAAAAATATCTAAATTTGAACACTCATTTCCTGCCTAAAATATTAAAAAATTCACTAACCCATGGGGTGGACTTTTTATTTTATTTTTTACAATAATGTCTAATAGTGTATTGTATTACATTGCTCTGTTTTTTCTTTTTTTACCATTTCTTGTTTCATTGTATGTAATGGCAGAGATTAGGGATTAATAAAGTACAACCATAACCACAATCATATGAACAGAAATCTACGCATTGATTTATATGAAGACAAGTCCAGATATTGTGGCCAAGGTTTAGCAAATTATTGTATTTATTTACATAGCATATAATTTTTTTAATAGCAATATATATGTGGGGGGGGGGGGTATTTTGAGCATATTTGAATATTGGGGGGGGGGGGTGTGGGGGGATGTCCCCCCCCTCTCCCCAATATATATGATAATTACGGCCTTGCTTAACAACAAAGCGGCTTATCACGTGAACATTTTTTTCCCGCAGCCAAATCATAATCCGAAACCCGTGCGTCTCCCCCCCCCCCCCGAGTTAAATTCTCGTTTCACGGCGAACATCAGTGGCGACGGTGCCCCGGGCTCAGGTCCCCCACCCCCACGGACCTCCCCGAGCTCGACTCGGCAGCCAGGTGCGTAACAGAAACAACAACAACAACAAAAAGGCACCGCTCCGCAAACAGGCACCTTGCCCAGGCCCGTGGCACGACAGCCCACACACCACCCCAGCCTAGCTTTAGAAGCCATACAACGAAAGGAGGTGGTGGGTTGGTGGGTGGTGGGTGGGTGGGTGGTTGGTTGGTGGGTGGTTGGGTGGGTGGTTGGGTGGGTGGTTGGATGGGTGGGTGGTGGTTGGTGGTAGGTAATTGGTTGGGTGGTGGGTGGTTGGTGGGTGGGTAGTGGTGGGGTGGTTGAGTGGGTGGGTGGTGGTTGAGTGGGTGGGTGGTTGAGTGGGTGGGTGGTTGAGTGGGTGGGGTGGTTGAGTGTGTGGGTAGTGGTTTGGTGGATGGTGCGTGTGTGTGGGGTGGTTGAGTGTGTGGGGTAGTGGTTGGGTGGGTTGTTGGTGGGTGGTGCTTGTGTGTCATCCGACGATTTGGCAACGGGGGCACTCCGAACGCACACAGTTGGCGAGCCCCCAGCGGCAGCTTGCGTCAAGGAACAGGAGTGGTGGTGGTGGGGGCGGTGGTGGTGGGGGCGGTGGTGGTGGGGGCGGTGGGGGGTGGCGGTGGTGGGGGGGGCGGTGGGGGGTGGTGGTGGGGTTGGTGGGGGGGACCCCGTGTGTATTTATAGCGGGGCCGGCCCCGGCCAGTCGACTTCGTCGCAAGTTCAAGCGGGGCTCTGCGGTGACGGGGGAGGTGAAGGCCACGGCTGGTGGTGGTGTAGTGGTGGTGGTGGCTCCTTCTCACAGGAGGTGAGAGAACTCCCCAAGCCCCTCTCTGACTGTCTCTCTGCCTGTCTCTCTCTGTGTTTGTGTGTTTGTCAGTCAACGTGTTATTGTTGTTGTTGTTGCTGCTGTTCGTTGTTGCGCAGCGGCGGCGCTCGGGTTTGTGTTTCAGCTTCCCCTGTTCGGCGAGTTGCCCGGTATCGATCGATATCACCCCCCACCACCCACAACAACTAATCTGGTTGTGGTGGTGGTGGTGGAGAGTTGTGCCCCCTTCCGATTCCACGCAATCCACGGCCGACGATTTTTCCGAACCGGTCCTGGGCCGACTCCCTCCTAGGTCGACTCGGCCTTAAACCGGTGCGGTGTGGATCGTGATGAGGATCAAGATCATGATTAGGATCATGATTAGGATCATGATCTTGACGTCAGGCAGGGGACTAGGGGTGACTACGATGGGTAACGAACCTCACTGTGGCCGCCCCGTTTGTGTCTATCGCGGCCTCTCTCGGCACTTGCCCCGCACGGCACGGGAGGTTACACGAGGTGGGAGCTTTGTCTTTGTAATGGTTCAGGTGGTGGTGGTTGTTGTTGTTGTGGTTGTTGTTGTTGTGGTTATTGTTGTTGTTGTGGTCGAGAAGCTGTGGCCTACAAATCCCCGGGGTTCGATTCCCACGCTCGAACTGGCGACCGGTTCCATTGGGCTACCCCCCCTAGGTCGACTCAGCCTTAAATACAAACGAGTTACCCCCCCCCCACCCCCACGTGTTGTAAACCATCACCACTTGGTGGGGGGGTGTGTGGGGGAGAGACAAAGGCGGCCGGGGCCGTGGCGTTTGACCACCACCCCCCTTGGGCCTCCCATCATCGATCGCTCCCCGCGAGCGGTTGTCAAGGGAACCGCTCGGGGTGGTGGTGGTGGTTGTTGTTGTGGTGGTTGTTGTGCTGGTGGTTGTGGTGGGGGAGCCGCTCAGGGTGGTGGTTGTTGTGGTGGTTGTGGTTGTTGTTGTGGTGGTTGTGGTGGGGGAGCCGCTCGGGGTAGTAGTGGTGGTTGTTGTGGTGGTGAGGGAGCCGCTCGGGGTGGTGGTGGTTGTTGTTGTGCTGGTGGTGGTTGTTGTGGTGGTTGTGCTGGTTGTTGTGCTGGTTGTTGTGGGGGAGCCGCTCGGGGTGGTGGTGGTGGTGGTTGTTGTGGTGGTGGTGGTGAGGGAGCCGCTCGGGGTAGTGGTGGTGGTTGTTGTGCTGGTGGTGGTTGTTGTTGTGGTGATTGTTGTGCTGGTTGTTGTGGTTGTTGTGGTGGTGGGGGAGCCACTCGGGGTGGTGGTGGTTGTTGTAGTGGTGGTGATTGTTGTGCTGGTTGTTGTGGTTGTTGTGGTGGTGGGGGAGCCGCTCGGGGAGGGCCCCGCCGATAACGGCGCCCTTGCCCGCGCAGGCTACCCGGGTATATGCGGGGAGCTTTGTCTTTGTCTGTAGCCAGGTGGTGATGGTTGTGGTGGTTGTTGTGGTGGTGGTGGTGGTTGTGGCGGCGATGCCCCCCGGTTCGATTCCCGCTCTTGATTAAATTGCCGGTTCTCGTGCCTCCGCCTAGGTCGACTCAGCCTTAAAAACCAAAACGCGAGTCCCCGGTGCGGCGTGTAAACATCAGCAGCACGTGGGGGTGGCGGGGGAGAGACAAAGGCGGCCCTCTCGGCCTTCGTAGATCGCTGCTCGCGAACAGCGCTCGCCTGCCCCCTTCACTGCCCCCTTGACTGCCCCGTTGACTGCCCCCTTCACTGCCCCGTTGACTGCCCCCTTGACTGCCCCGTTGACTGCCCCGTTGACTGCCCCGTTGACTGCCCCCTTGACTGCCCCGTTGACTGCCCCCTTCACTGCCCCCTTGACTGCCCCCTTGACTGCCCCCTTGACTGCCCCCTTCACTGCCCCCTTGACTGCCCCCTTCACTGCCCCCTTGACTGCCCCGTTGACTGCCTCCTTCACTGCCCCGTTGACTGCCCCCTTGACTACCCTGTTGACTGCCCCGTTGACTGCCCCGTTGACTGCCCCCTTCACTGCCCCGTTGACTGCCCCCTTGACTGCCCTGTTGACTGCCCCCTTCACTGCCCCCTTGACTGCCCCGTTGACTGCCCCCTTGACTGCCCCCTTGACTGCCTCGTTGACTGCCCCCTTGACTGCCCCGTTGACTGCCCCGTTGAGGGCCTCACGGAGGGGGAGTTGCGATCTCTGTTCCCTGGTGCAGAGCAGATGTCCCGGGGGGGGGGCTGCAGTGCCCCCACCACTACCCCCCCCACCCATCACCACCATCACCCCCCCCACCCATCACCACCATCACCCCCTCCCACCCACCATCACCCCCCCACTCACCACCACCCACCACCACGACCGTCGGCCGCTGTTGCTGCTGCTGCCGCTGCCCCTTGCTGCTGCTGCAGCTGCTGCCCCTGCTGCTGCTGCAGCTGCTGCCCCTGCTGCTGCTGCAGCTGCTGCCCCTGCTGCTGCTGCCCGCGTTCTCTCTCTCTGTCTCGCGACGCCCGGGAACCATTGTTCAGTGGCGACGTGAGGAGGAGCGGTGGCGCAACGGTTAGCGCACCCGCACGATAACATCTCACCACCACCACCACACCCCCTTCTCCATTCAGCCACCCCGGCCACCGCCGGTCAATCATCTGCCCCCCCCCCCCCCCCCCCCTGTGGGTTCTTCAGCATTCACTGCTTTGCCATCCCCTACCCCCCAGCACCACCGTGATGTTTGAATGATGTGACGATGCCGAGTTGGTGCAATGGTGCATGCATCTTTTTTTGTTAATAAAAAAAAATAACCCCCTCGCCAGATACGTTGTCCTCTGAAGAAGCTCCTCCGTTGCCCGAAACGTCGCCTATTGTGTATATTTTTCGCCCTTTAAGGCCGTGGGGGCTTTATCCAGCAGTGGACTGTACAAGACCTTGCCTTGCACAGTCCGCTGTTGGATGTGCAAGGCCCTGCTTTTACCTCAAAAGTACATAAAAATGGCTATTATTCCCCACTAACTTTGCTTTTATGACCAGGACAGTGATATTTTGAAATTTACCTATTTTCCAGAACATTCCAGATAGATTCAGTGCCGGGTATACTTGGAGTAACTTCTATAACATTCTAGAACTTTCCAGTAATATAAATAGTCGTATAAATACAGGGGCCTTAAGCCCACCAGTTCAGTTTAGTTCCAGCTGCCTAAGTGGATACATATCTGCATTTTTCTGAGATGGCATCAAGAGGCTGCAAGCATCCAGCAGACGCATTTTGCTATGTCTGCGGCCAATTAATCAAGACAAGAGCGAAAAAGTACTCTGTGGAAGCATCTGCTAAGATGTGTGAGGCCTACAAGGCATATTTCGGCATGCCTGTCGGGGATCAAGACAAACTCTGGGCACCTCATTTCACCTGCGAGCAATGCAAAAATACTCTGGAAGGTAAGATGAACAATTGTTGCTCAGAATTTTAGGTTGTACAATTTGTAAAAAAATTGAATTGTAAAAGTTTTTAATTTTAAAATGTTTTACAATTTTCAATGTTATTGAAAAAATATATAAATGAAAAATGTTGCAAGAAACTCTTAAACATTAGTCATGGGTGAAATAAATGTATTTTTGTAGGATGGTACAGAGGGGAAAAGAGAGCCATGAAGTTCGCTATCCCAAGAATTTGGCGGGAACCCACTGACCACTCGAGCAACTGCTGCTTCTGCATGGTGGACCCTTCCAAACGTCGGACTGGCAACAATGCACCTGCTATCATGTATCCAGACCTTCATCCATCGCCCCGGTGCCACACTGCCATGAGCTCCCCGTACCCACTCCTCCGGAGAGAGAGCAGCCGTCTTTAGAAGAGAGCAGCAAGTCAGAGAACGAGGAAGACATTGTAGATCCAGATGACAATTTCAGAGGTGGAGCTGAGGAGAGAAACCCATGCTACCCCAACCAAAAAGACCTCAACGACTTGATCAGAGATCTTGGTCTCACCAAGTCCCAATGCCCGGCTTTTGACGTCTCGGCTCAAGCAGTGGAACTTGTTGGATGAAAGTGTGCAAGTCGCAGATCAGAGGAAGCGTCACCAACCTTTTTGCAGCTTCTTCACCCGTCAAGATGGGCTCTGCTTCTGTTCGAGGCTATCGGAATCGCCTGTAACCAGAATTAGTGACTCCTCTTCATTGACATCTCATCCAGGAGCCTCAAAGCCGTGCTGCTCCATAATGGTAACAAATACCCGTCTCTTCCCCTGGCTCACTCGGTGCACCTCAAAGAGGATTACAACAGCATCAAGACCTTGCTGGACGCCTTGAAGTATGACGAGTATGATGAGTATGGTTGGGAGGTCATCGGAGACTTCAAAATCGTGTCATTCCTGATGGGTCTCCAAGGCGGTTTTACCAAGTTTCCCTGCTATCTTTGCATTTGGCGCAGCAGGGACACCAAGGCGCATTACCACAGGCGGGACTGGCTGCAGCGGACCGAGTTCTCTGTGGGGAGGAACAACGTCAAGTGGGAGCCACTGGTGGACCCCGGAAGGTGCTGATGCCACCACTGCACATCAAATTGGGCCTGCACATCAAATTGGGCCCAATGAATTCCCCAATAAGCTCACTAGTAAGGAGAAAGCGGCTTGGAGCAGCTTTGTCGCAGTGGTTCGTGGCTTCCTGGGCAATCACAAGGTCGAAAACTATGTGGAGCTGGTTGAGACTCTGGTGAAGAACTACGGCACAATGGGCTGTAGGATGTCCCTTAAAGTCCATATCCTTGATGCTCATCTTGATAAATTCAAGGAGAACATGGGAGCGTACTCGGAGGAGCAAGGCGAGCGCTTCCACCAGGATATACTGGACTTTGAACGCCGCTACCAAGGACGGCATAACGAGAATATGATGGGAGACTACTTTTGGGGGCTGATTCGTGAAAGTGATTTACAGTATAATCGTAAATCTCGAAAATCTAGAAAAACTACTCGCTTCAAAATCTTTTGTAGTAATTTTTTTATTACTTTAGTATAAATATTTGTAAATTTTTATTCATGTTTTTTTATTCTGACTTTGTGAACGAAAAGACACAAATTCGCCCGTTTTCTCATTGAAAATAGGTACATTTAAAAATATCACTGTCCTGGTCACAAAAGCAAAGTTTGTGGGGAATAATCGCCGTTTTTATACTTTTGAGGCATAAGCAATTACGAAATAACACTACCCAGGAACAAAAATTGTCTTACATCGTGTAATTAGAGGGTTTTTTTTTGGTGGGTCAGATGGCGTGAATCGAAATGTTGTGTCGTTAAACCCGCCACCACCCGACCACAGGGCTTGTCACGTAAACACAAACGTGCCAATTCGTGACGCGAATGGCACGCACCAGCGTGCTGGAGAGTAAACCCACAGCATTCCGTGAACTGCATTTTACTCTCCACTCTCTCTATACAGGGTGTTTCAAAATGTTTTTAACACTTATATGGGACTATCGTTTTGAATGGAAAAATAACGGATACTGCTACACTGTAACATGATAACAAATGTGATGTTAATGGCTTCAAAAAGTGAAAGGGTGTCCACTTGTTCACCATCATTGTCAACGCGTGCCCCAAATCTTCTCCAGGTGGTCTCCAGAGCCCGGAGGCACAACATTTCTCGTGGTTATTGTTGCATAAAGTGTTAACGTTTTTTTGAAGCACTCTGTATTTTGCATGTTGGGGGTGGGTGGGAGGTCAAGTGTCACGATTTTTTGGGACGTACGTTCCACACGGTCGATTTGATAAAGTGAAGATGCCCGGGGGCCAATAGTTCCTTTTGACATTGTTTTAACCACAAAAGTTACGTGGAAACACACACTGTTATAAAACAATTTTCATTGTCACAATTACCTTCATTTTTCAAATGACAATGTAACCAAATATCAGCCACTCAGGCAGACGTGAACAACTCTAAGAACGCAATTCTGCCTTTCATTCAGTCAGATAATATTGAACAAACTGTATAGAATACCTTAAATTTCCATGACTTTTACGATGTATTTATTCTGACAGAGCTGGCGAGCCATAACTAACACGTTATAAGACAGAAGCTGCGGGCCGTACGAAATCTGACCGCGGGCCGTGATTGGCCCGCGGGCCGCACTTTGGACATGCCTGTGTTAAACTGACACATTAATACGTACGTGCTCCAATCCTTTGCGTTCCTCTTCGCTCTGCAAGCGCCTCTGGGTGTATTTTCAAGCGTGCATCTCTCCACGCCGCTTTGAGCGCTTTTCAGTCTCCGTAGAGTAACAAGAAAAATAAACACCCCCAAACATTTTGACCCGACCGATGGCGCCCATTAACAACAAACACCGCGGCGGATCAAGAATGTGCCCGGTAGTTCGTCGCTTTTTTATTTTTACATTCAAAGTTGGGGGGGGGGGTGCCCCTCAACAGCAATAGCCGCTAGGGGCCCCCAATGAGTCCAACGCCATCGCTGAGCATCGGGACTTGCGTTACGTAACCGAATATTATCGTCCGGGAACAAGCTGGCGCGTGTGCGTGGCGTGGTTCTGCGCCTCCGCTCCTAATAGGGCCACTTACGCAGAGAAGCCCACGCGGTCCTTATGTCGTCGTGTTTTGGAAGTGACACCAAAACGAATGATTGGCCCGCTGCCGCGAGGATCGCAGAGTGGAGATTGTATTTTGTTTGCACGCAGGATCAACTTGTCGACCACGTCGCCATGATCGTTTCTTTGTACTGAAAAGGGTTTCAACAGCGTGTGGCTGCGTTGTGTGTCGTCTGCCTGGTAACGTGGGTTCACGATCACGCTCTTGACAGGGACGCAATATGAATGAAATGTTCGCATGAAGTTGGGTTGCTCGTAGAGAATTTACCCCATTTTTTTTTAACTGCGGACAAATTCATCCAAGGGTTTTAACACCCAAAACTACAGACTATGGGTAGTGTTAGTGTATGGGCAGTGTTAGTGTATGAGCAGTGTGAGTCCTATGGGCTGTATGTATGTTAAACTTCTTTCGCACCGTACGTAGCCAACTGTGCTAATTGTGGAGGTGCGATGTCCGGATCACCCGATATTTTACCCCTTTCTCTCCCCCCCCCACCCTCCCCCTGTGGGAGCAACGACAATCAGATTTGTTTGCTACGGTAGTTCAATGTCCGAAGTCCACGATAGACAGCACAATTAAAGGCAAGGCTGAGAATTTTAGATTTTTTTAAAATGATTTTTAAAGTAAATTACAACGTTTAACCGATGACCCCACCCGGACGCGTCCGTGACCCGTGCGGAACGCAGGCAGGCCAAGCCCGTCGGGGCCACCGCTCGCTCCTCGCCGGGACGCCATGGGGGCGGCCGGAGGGCCGGCGGGCCGCCCGGAGCCTCCCGACGGCGGCTGGGGCTGGGTGGTCCTGGGCGCCGTTTTCCTCACCATGAGCCTCTCACTGCCCGTGCCCCAGTCGCTCGGCGTGTTCTTCGCCGTTCTGCAGGACGAGTTCGACGCCTCGTCGGGCGCCACGGCCTGGGTGCCCTCGTGCATGACGGCCACGTTGCACGCCGCCGGTGAGCGACGCCGCGCGGTGCGGCTGCCCCGTGCGTCCCGCGCGGGGATGCCGGATTTGCCGCGGCTCCAACCGGCGCGTGCATTCGGGCGCTGATGTTAACTCCCTCGCCTGGTACGCAGGAGGTCGTGGGTTCCATCCCGACCCTGACGCCTGCTGCTGTGTATTTGGAATCTGCGTGTCTCTCATCATCATCATCATCACGGTGGCTATGAGATGTTAACTCCCTCGCCTGGTACGCAGGAGGTCGTGGGTTCCATCCCGACCCTGACGCCTGCTGCTGTGTATTTGGAATCTGCGTGTCTCTCATCATCATCATCATCACGGTGGCTATGAGATGTTAACTCCCTTGCCCGGTACGCAGGAGGTCGTGGGTTCCATCCCGACCCTGACGCCTGCTGCTGTGTATTTGGAATCTGCGTGTCTCTCATCATCATCATCATCACGGTGGCTATGAGATGTTAACTCCCTTGCCCGGTACGCAGGAGGTCGTGGGTTCCAACCCGATCCTGACGCCTGCTGCTGTATATTTGGAGTTTGCGTGTCTCTCTCCCCGTGGTCGCGTGGGGTTACCTCCTGTGTGCTCCGGTTTTTCCCTCGATATTTAGAATCAACGTGCGTTTGGAGTATTTGGCTGCTATACATTTCCACGTGATAAGCCACTTCGTTGAGCTCTCATTCGTGGCCAGATCTGATAAAGAAGCTATATAGCTCAGTGGGCCTTACCTGGCAAAATAAAAATAGTTTGTTGGTTTCGAGCTTCTCCGGGAACTACTGAGCAGCTTTATTCCGTGCCAACAGAAGTCTTCACGTCTGTTGTGGCCGAAACGTCGTGAGAATTATTTAATGATGTTTTATTTTTATTATTTTATTATTTTCCTTCTACGTGACTTTGCCGAAAGAACCAAGAAGAAAATAATTCTTTTCATAAAATAATTATTTTATTATGTTTTATTTTATTATTTTATTATTTTCCTTCTACGTGACTTAGCCGTAGCTTTGTCAGGCGGACTTTGCTTTTGCGAAGCGAGTGGCGTCTGAAGTGAATAACCGCCGTTATCGAGTCGGCTCCCTCTGCCTCGCATTGTGAAATGCGTGTGACGACACGCGGTGAGCAACGAAAACTTTGCCCCTCCTAGGCGGCGTGCAATAAAGGGAAAGGTCAAACGCGACTCGAAGAATTCACCGTAGCCAATTCTTATTTGAAACTAATTTTGTAACACCATTGGAACCTCATTTGCCAGTAAAAAATATGATAATTGGTTTTTTTACCCTTCTATCTGGCAACAAAACTGACACTTTTTTATGTTTACAAGGAGTCATGTTTGCATAGACCACAATACCTGCAGTCATAATGCAAACAAAAAACATAACTCTGATAATGTGCACTGTCCTTGAAGTTGATTGGCCTTTTGGCGTCATCTGGTCCAACCCATGTGAGACTAGGCTCTAAGGAAAGCTGTCACGGGTGTGGACCAATCAACGTCAAGGACAGTGCATACATTATCAGAGTTATGTTTTTTGTTTGCATTATGACTGCAGGTATTGTGGTCTATGCAAACATGACTACTTGTAAAAAAGGTGTCAGTTTTGTTGCCAGATGGAAGGGTAAAAAAACAATTATCATATTTTGTAACTTTAAAATTATTTTATTTTACCAGGTAAGGCCCACTGAGCCGATACGGCTCTTTGTCAGAAGCGACCTGCCCATCGCAAATGATGGCCCAATGAATTGGCTTATCAGCGTGCGCAAATTTCTAGCAGCCAAATGCTCTGAACGCATTATCGATTCCAAATGTGGAGGGGAAAAACTGGAGGACCCGGAGAAAATTCCAGGCCCAAATATACAGGGATCAGAGTCGGGATTGAACCCACGACCTCCTGCATACCAGGCGAGGTAGTTAACATCTCCTAGCCACTGTTATGCCCAGGGAGCAATAGCGGTTCTTTCTGCACGGCCGGTGACCAATCGACAACGATAACCATGGCAACACAAAGGTTAGAATTCCAGACATGAACCCATTTACCTCCCGCATACCAGGCGCTGTAGTTAACATCTCGACTCACCACGGCAACACAAAGTTGGAACTTCAGAGGCGTCAAAAAAGCTGAATGGGGGAAGTGTATTTTTATCACGTTGCCACATCTTGTTTCGCGGCGGCTGGCAGCCACGGAGGCTTTTGGAAATACTTTTTTTCTCCTAATCGATCGTATCCAGAGATTCATACTCTTAGGCTTTTTCGGTAAAGTCACGTAGCTAAAAAATAAAAAATAAATTATTTTTATTTTTTAGTATAAGTATGAATCCTTGCAGTCACGAAAGCTTCAAATCTCGAACGTATCCAGAGAGGCAATGGTCTGATGGACTACAACATACGTTGTGGGGATGACGGGATGGGGGAGAGGGGGGTGACGGAGTCGGTAGTAGGGGGGGACGATTATTGGTGCCGTGTGTTATCCCAATTGAGGCAGTTGCGGTGTCAATTTCGGGGTTGGCAAATTTGCACGGACGCAACACACTCAACTAAACCATTTTTTTTTACCAGCTGAGACACCACTGAGCTCTGGTTACATCAGCCCACAAGAGAATATTGTGTCCGTCCGTCCGTCGTGCATACAAAAATGGGTGGGGAGGGGCTGGGTGGGGAGGGGCTGGGTGGGGAGGGGCTGGGTGGGGGGGTGGGAGGGGTGGGGCTGGGTGGGGAGGGGCTGGTCGCCCCGTGGTGCCCTTTAACGTTTAACCTACTCACGCCGGCTTGTGCCCGCCCTCAGTCGACCATATTTGCGGAATACACCACGTAAAGAACGGGCCCACATTCAATTTTCAAGCGGCGAGAATTGACCCCAGCCTGTGAGATTCACCACAACGGGGAAGGATTCATTCTCGCGCCGTGTTGCTGTACTGCACTGAATTCTGGGTCCCACAGTATGTGTGCGGAGGGTGGCGGACCAATAGTCCAGCGGTCAGCGCACTGCGCTACAAACCCGGCGACCCGAGTTCGATTCCCACTCACGACCAACACCAGTGGTAGCGATTATCTCAATCTGGTCCTGGGCCTCCCCTAGGGCGACTCAGCCTCAATGAGTACCTAGTGTGGGTTATAAACATCACCACTGAGGAGTCAAAGGCGGCCGGGCCGCGGTGTTGACTATCCACCCTCGTGTGCCGTTCCAGCCTTCATAGGCGCTCGCTAACAGCACTTGCCCCAACAGTCTGTTAAGGCTATACGGGGGATCTTTGTCTTTGTGTGGAGGGACTCTTGCCTATGACACCAGGCAACACGACACTGCCGTTTGCTTAGCAGGAAAGTCAAACCGGTCTGGGGGTGGGTGGGTGGGCGGGTGGCCTGCTAACTCAAATATTGCCGAGTGAGCTGATGGGCAAAATATTATGCAATTTATTATCGCCAGTTTAAACAGAGGCCCCTGCTGCAATGCTTTATCGGACTTTTTTACGGCGCCGTGGTGGTGTCATTGCGCACTTCGACTTGAGCTCGACTTGACGCCGTTTCGGTTCTAACTATCGGCCGTTACGGCGGTTGACCCAATGATGTTAAATTTCGATTTAAAGCTTTTGTGACTGCAGGGATTCATATTCTTGGTTCTTTCGGTAAAGTCACGTAGAAGGGAAATGATAAAATAATGAAAGATTGTTTTATTATTATTTTATTATTTCCCTTCTACGTGACTTTACCGAAAGAACCAAGAATACCAACGATACTCTTATTTTTTTTCGGTAAAGTCACGTAGGTAAAAAATAAAAAAATAAATTACAATTAATAAAAGTAAAATAAAAATCACGACGTTTCGGAAGCAACACAAGCTTCCGTCTTCAGGTGGAACCGTCACATTTTTATATATTTTTGTTATTTTTTACCTACGTGACTTTACCGAAAAAACCTAAGAGTATGAATCCGTGCAGTCACGAAAGCTTCAAATCTAGAATTAATACCAAAGATGTTAGTTTCTAAAATACCCTCGGCAGTAGCCTCTGTCCTCCCGGCACTGTGAATGGGTGGAACCGGTCGACCGACAGGTCCCGTTCGGCGGGGTAAAGCCTGGGGTACTTCCACATCTTCCACGTCGTCTGGCCAGGAGGAGGTATCTCAAAGCGAGGAGGTGCCGGCGATGTTTGCATCTCGAACGAGGCGTTTCTTTCTGGAATCGTACGAGTACGTACGTCGAACTTGTTTCGCGCCCTCCGTCCCCGACCGCGCTAATCGGAGGTGCGGGGAGTGGAGGCTGACGAGCGAGAGGGCTCCGTGGCTCGTGCCGCACGCAGGCCCCATCTCGAGCGCGCTGGCCGGACGGATCGGCTGCCGCTCGACGGTGATGCTGGGCGGCCTGCTCACGAGCGTGGGCCTCATCCTCGCGTCGCTCAGCGGCTCCATCGGATACCTCTACGCTGCCGCCATCGTCAGCGGTCAGCTCGCGCGCCCGCACACTCGCCCGCACACTCGCCCGCACACTCGCCCGCGCTCGCCACCACGTGCTCACCCGCTCCTCGCCCACATGCTCACTCGCCCACACGCTCACTCGCCCACACGCTCGCTCGCCCACACCCTCGCTCGCCCACACGCTCACCCGCACACTCGCCCGTACACTCACCAGCCCGCTCACCCGTTCCGCCGCACGCTCACCCGCACACTCGCCCGCGCTCGCCACCACGTGCTCACCCACTCCCTCACCCACACGCTCACTCGCCCACGCCCTCACCCACACGCTCACCACCCACACGCTCACCACCACACGCTCACCCGCGCGTTCACCCACGCCCTCACCCCCACGCGCTTACCCCCATGCGCTCACCACCACACGCTCGACCGCGCGCTCAATCGGCCTCGCCTGAAGCCGTCGCGTGACCCCTCGCACTCGGATGTAGATCCGCGAGTCGCTCGTCACAACGCCACGTGCAAGAGCACGACAACCGGTTATCGCCGCGTAGTTTATGGGCACGAGGGACTTGGACTTGCGACCCCCTCGCAAAACGCGCCAGGGTCTGCTGGCGCAGCGACGTGGCGGTTGCACAACCTCGGTGCGGGCCAGCGTTGCCCAACAGCTGGGCCAGCCCGCGCTTTCTCTCTCTCTCTCCGGCACTGCCGTCAAAAACGCGCGATTCTCAATTAGCGGGGTCGCCAAGTTCAAATCGCGATCGCGGCCCAACGATTTAACTATTGTAACTGTTTGCATTTCACTCGGTAAGGCCCCCCCCGCTGAACTGTGTCGCTCCTTTTCACCAGCGACCTGGCCGTCAGAAATGAAAGCTCAAGGAAGTGGCTTATTGCATGTACATTTAGAGCAGTCGCCAAATACTCTTGAACGCACGTTTCTAAAACTGGTGTTCGATTTACTGACCCGCGTGGGATGATTGATGGGCCTAGTTGCGGCGCCATCGTGGCGAGATGTTAACTACTTCGCCTGGTTTTTCAGGTCGTGGGTTTCAACTGGACCCTGACGCTTGCTGCTGTATATTTGTAGTTTGTGTCTCTCTCCGTGGTGAGATGTTAACTACCTCGCCTGGTATACAGGAGGTCGTGGGTTTCAACTCGACCCTGACGCCTGCTGCTGTATATTTGGAGTGTGTGTCTCTCTCTACCCCGTGGTTGCGAGGATCTTTCTCCGGTCCCCCGGAATTTCCCTCCACATTTCGAATCGACATGGCGCCTTCCGGAGTATAAGGCCGCCGTCTTCCGTTGAGTGCGGGGGCCTTTACCTGCCGAAGTAAAAAAATGTAATAGTTCACTTGATAGTTTTATTGGGTACGGGCGAGAGGAGGAAGCGCCTCTCATTGTGACGTGCGCTCCGCACTTTGCCCAGCTGCGAGCGACTGTAACGCGAACGGCGCTCAGAAGTCAAAACGTCGCACGGGCCTCGCTCCTGACACAACGGGGCGTCGTGTTTCCAGAGCTATTACAGCCGGAGGGGGGGGGGGGGGCTGCTGTGGGACGCTGGCGTCAGCTGGGCGTGGAGGCGCTCCCTCCCCGCCGGAACATCTCTAACGATTACCGCAGCATCTGGGGGGCTGGCACTTAGCTTGGCGTCGGCCGTTGTACAGGGTGCCTCGAGAAAATGTTTTTAACACTTCGGAGAATTTTCAACAATGCCACGAGAAATGTGCTGACTCTGGGCTCTGGAGACCACCTGGAGAAGATTCCAGGCACGCGTTGACAACGATGACGAATAAGTGGAGACTTTTAGAAACTATTAACATCACATTTGTTATCATGTTACAGTGTATTATCCCTTTTTTCCCATTAAAAACGATAGTCCCATGTAAGTGTTACGTACGTATGGACGTTGAACTTCTTTAGCGCTGTACGTCACCAATCGTGCTAATCAGAGGTGATGCGATGAAGGAAATGTAGCCATCCCCCTCCGCCACCACCCCGTCCACTATCTCCGCCCTCTTAATAGCCTAGCGGCTCGGCCCTCAACTCTGGCCGTGGGGCCTGGTGCAGTAGCACTGCCGACACACTTGATAGATGAGCCACCGCCACTCCCTCTAAATACCACTCATTGCAAAACGATTCATATTAGCAGACAACAACAAAATTTACGCGGCAATAAGTTTTGTATTTGGGGGGGCGCATTTAGATCTCAGTCGGTGCCGCGCGGGGTCTGCCGCCGCTGGACGCCTCCTCGATGCTGCTGTTTGACCGCCGCCGATAAAAATCCGTCTGCTTACCGCACAGGCCTGGGCATTTGCCTGTGCTTCCAGCCGGCGCTCACCATCCTGGGCCACTACTTCCTCCGCCGGCGCTCGCTGGCGAACGGCGTGGCGTCGTCGGGCACGGCGGTCGGCATTTGCCTGCTGCCGCTCGTGGCGCAGGCGCTGCTGTCGAGGTACGGCTGGCGCGGCGCCTTCCTCATCATGGGCTCGCTGATCCTCAACTGCTGCGTGTGCGCCGCGCTCATGCGGCCCGTGGCCGCCGTCGTCGCCGCCGGCGCCATCGCCGGCGCCGCGACACCCTCCGAGGACGCTCGTCGGAAGAGCGGCCGCAGAGAGACGGGCTTGTGCTGCTGCATGGCGGAGCGGTGCGGTGAGAAGCCGGCCTCCGCGCCAGACGAGGCGGAGACGCTGGTGCGCAACGGCGGCGTGCCCGATGGCCGGCGGGCCGCCCCCGGCACGAACCTGAACGGCGGCTCGTGCGGCTGCGGCGGAGCCGGCGGTTTAACCGACGCCACGTCGGGCACCGGCGGCAAGGAGCTCGTCGTGCCGCAGCTAAACGACGACGGGACCCCGCGGCACCCACGGCAACCCACGGCCCCGCGCCGCCGGACTTGACTTTGCGGTGCGGCGGAGGGGGCGGACGACGCGGCGCGGCTTGCCCCGGCGAACGGGCACGGCCGCGCTCTCCGCAGACGCGCCGATCGGCGGGGAGGGATCGCCGGGCGGCCGCGAGCGGTCGACGGCCCGCCGGCGCCTGGCCCGCGCCGCCGCCCGGGCCAACCTGGACCTGTTTGGCAACCCGCTGTACAGCATCTTCGTGTTCGGCACCACGCTCATGGTGCTGGGCTTCTTCGTGCCGGTCATCTTCCTGGTGCCGTACGCCCAGTCCATCGGCATGAGCGACGAAGAGGCGGGGCCGCCCTCCTCTCCATCAACGGCCTCATCAACATCTTCGGGCGCCCCGTGGCCGGCTGGGTGGGCGGCACAAAGATGTTCAGGTGACGGTCGGGGGGAGCGTGGGGGCGACCGCCGGTTGTCGATACGGTCCGGTGTCGGTGGCGTTCGTGCGGGGCCATTGCGGTGGGTTTCGGCGTCCGCGAGCGATCGTCTTTGCCCGATTGAGCGACTCGTGGTCGTCGTTTGTCCTTCAAAGTTCTGGACCATGACGCCGGCACGCAATCGCCTCCTCTTCTCCGAACGATGGCACGGGATCTTTTTAAAACGTGCGCTGTGACGTATGTCGGAGTTAACGGCGCACCCGTAGTAGCAGCCTCGAGACTCGCTGGAGGGTTTCCTGGATAAGCAAAGGGCATCGTTATTATTCATTTATTTAGAGTGTTTGGACGCCATAAATTTCCACGTGATGATAAGACGCTTCGATGGGCTAGCGTTTGTGGCCAGGTGGCTTCTGAAAAAGAGGGAAACAGCACATCAATGGGGTCTTAACCTGGTAAAATAAAAAATAGTTTAGTTTTAGTAGGAACTAATGTGTGGAGGTGCAGGGGGTGCCTTTGCTTTCTAACCCGTGGATATGAAGCTCTTTTTCACAGATGTCCATTAGGGGCATGGGGTCAGAACGTTGCAATGACAAACAAACAACACGATAGGAGTGAAAAGTATAGGAAAGGTGAGCAAAATCACTAAAAAATCTATACAAATAAAACTGAATAATCTTACTTACCAGATAAAGCTCACTCATTGGGACGCTGTCTTTCCGACAGCTCTGTTCTTCCACCTGAGGACGGCTTGCTTGTGTTGTGGCCGAAACGTCGTGAGAATTTCATTTTATATCTTTTATTTTTATTATTTTATTATTTCCCTTCTACGTGACTTTACCGAAAGAACCAAGAATATATAAAGCCCCACTGAGCTCTTCGTTTTTTTTTCAGAAGCAACCTGGCCCCAAAGGATGGCTCAACAAAGTGGCTTTCACTCTTGGTTCTTTCGGTAAAGTCACGCAGAAGGAAAATAATAAAACAATAAAAACAAAACATAATAAAACAAAGTGGCTTTATTAAAGGCCGACATGGCACAAGAAAATTTGTGTAGCCAGCATCACGCACGGCCACCTTTGACTCCTCATTGCAGATGTTCACACACCGCAACACGGTGATAAAACTAAGCGATGTTCATCCTACCCGCTGAGCTATTTAGTTTGATTTTCCTCCAGGCCTTACCTGGCAAAAAAAAAATTGAGTTTCTCGTTATTATTTGGCGAAACCCGACCGTACACATTCTCTGGCGATGCGCGTTTACAGCCGGACGAGCCCGACTTAAAACAACGACGCGTCCGCCGATGATTTACGGTTCAGCCATGTCACCTCTTCTCTGGCCGCCGTGCAGGGCACCCATAATTTAATTCCGCGGGAGGGGAGGGGGGTAGTTTGAACAACCCGGCGCTGATTAAGACCCACAGGACGATTTCGCAAATTTCCCCAAAATCTGCGCGATGACCCCGGCCGGGGTGACGCTGGCTTGGCCCTGCCAAACGCGAGCGCCGATCCCGCACGGCATCGTGTGGACTGCAGGAGGAGAAATCCGAATGGCCGTGAAGCTCTTTTTGCACGGATGTGCCGAGTTTACAACGGCGAAAACAAAACGCGAAAACGCGACGCAATCGGAGTGCAAAGTCGAGGAGATGGCAAGCGAGTCACTGGGGTGTGCAGTAGAAGCCCTCTGACGACGGTGATTGGTTCCAAGAAACCGGTCCCTCAAGCGATTCGCTCGTTAAGCGAGCAAGGAGATGCACTCTAAGGCTAAATGCGTTCCGAGGGCATTGAAAGTTATCCGCTTTTCACGCAAAAGACGCACGTTATAATGCTTAAACGATGGATATTCATACATTAAGATACTAACAACATTTTGACGTTTCGATAACGCGAGACCATCAGGCAGGCGCACGCGAGCCGCCGTGGCAACAAAACTGACACCTTTTTACAAGGGAGTCATGTTTGCATAGACCACAATACCTGCAGTCATAATGCAAACAAAACACACAACTCTGATAATGTGCACTGTCCTTGAAGTTGATTGGTCCACACCCGAGACAGCTTTTTTTAGAGCCGAGTCTCACATGGTGTTGGACCAGATGACGCCAAACGAAGGCGGTCCGCTCTCATTGAACTGACGGGCGGAGAATAAACAGAATGGGCCACGTATGGAGTTACTGAGAGCTGGCTCTCCTCGGGTCAGTCCCGCCTTCATCATGATGATGATCATCATCATCAGCCATGGTCAATCACTGCTGGGATGAAGGCCTCCCCAACGCCGTGCCCATGTCATCCCTTTGCCGTTGCGCCAACGTAACGCGCACGTCACGCTGTGTGTGTACGGTTAATGAATGCATACTACTATAATGAGCCCAGAATGTTGTGTGTCCCGCGCGTGACGTCACTCCACATGAGGCCCACCCCCCTGCGTGACGTCATCCACATGAGGCTCACCCCCCCCCCCGCGTTGACGTCACTTCACATGAGGCCCACCCCCCCCCCCACATGTGACGTCACTTCACATGAGGCCCACCCCCCCTCACGTGTGACGTCACTCCACATGAGGCTCACACCCCCCCCCCTCATTAATATTCATGCCCGCGTGGAAATTTACACAAACGCACAAGAAGGTCGCGCACTCCACATGCCCCACCCCTCCCCTCATTAATATTCATGAGCGGGTGACGTCACTCCACATGCTGCATCCCTCCACAATAACCATGAGGGGTGACGTCACTCCACATGGGGCAACTCCCCCCCCCCTCATTAATAATCATGAACTGAACGGGCAAAAAAGCTTAGTTACTTAATATTTACTGTACCTACAACAACAGCCCGTCGTGAACAGGGGCTTTATGGAGGCACTACACTACTATACACTACACGATACACTACTATACACTACACTACTATGCACTACACTACTATGCACTACACTACTATACACTACACGATACACTACACTACTATGCACTACACTACTATACACCACTATACACTACACTATACACTACACTACTATGCACTACACTACTATACACTACACGATACACTACACTACTATACACTACAACTACACTACTATACACTACTACACTACTATACACTACACTATACACTACACATTGGGCTCTGTGGAGGCCCGTAGTTCAGCGATTAAACATGGGAGTGGTCGTTAAGGGGGGGTCTACTGTAAATGAATAATAAATTAAGTTCTATTTATAAAAAAAATTGGGGCAAGGAAGCAAACACAACGACTATCAATAGTTCCCCAGACAGGACCACATTGACACCCACACAGCCTTGTGGTAGCAGGAGTCCCCCGACAATGTCGCCTTCCTGGGCAGGCATTTCCTGCCCCACCACACCTTGAGACGCACACACGAGTCAACAAAGGTGAACACCACGCCACTCACAAACACGACGAGTCTTAGTATAGTAATAGGTTTTTACCCTTTCAACTGGTACAAAAACTGACACCTTATACAAGGGATCATGTTTGCAATAACCACAACAAGCAGTCAAAATGCAAACAAAAAGAAACAACTCTGATAATGATATGCACTGTCCTTGAAGTTGGTTGGTCCACACCCGAGCGTCTAGGAAGTCCCGCACGGCGATGCGACTTAAGAGACCGCCCCCCCCCCCCCCCCCACTATCTACCACGGGTTTTCCACTCCGCGTGTTTTGTCCCGACCGGCAAGGCGACGTGAACGCCGCTTGTGCCCGCGGCAGGGCCGGTGACGTAACACGGAGTCGGGAGCCGGTCGTCGTGCAGGCCTCGTGTCATTCCAGAACGAGTGGGGAACTTTTTCCCCCCAGTGATGTTGGGGGGCGGAGGTGGAACGTCGTGGGAGTTTCCCACCCTCTCTCCCTGCGTTGCTTGACTGTCAAACCAATGTTTTATTATTCTTGGTTCTTTCGGTAAAGTCACGTAGAAGGGAAACAATAAAACATTGAATTTTGATTTCAAGCTTTCATAACTGCAGGGATTCATATTCTTGGTTCTTTCGGTAAAGTCGCGTAGAAGGTAAACAATAAAATAAATTTTTATAATTTTATTTCAAGCTTTCGTGACTGTAGGGATTCATATTCTTGGTTCTTTCGGTAAAGTCACGTAGAAGGT